TTAGCCGACTTGAGGGCCTGATCTGAGTAGTATCTAGTATCAGAATAATGAGCTTAACTTATCAATAAATAAAACCTGCAAGAGATTCGGTTGCATTTTTGTACGGTCACATTTTTTTAAATTGGAACAAGAAACTACTGTAAAAGACATTAGTTTTATTTACCTAAGTTTAGACTTAATGGCACGTATCTTCTTGAATATGTATTCTAGATCCTTCCGCATTTCCATGAGCAGCTGCGTGTGCTTCTTGAACTCGACCGATGCATCTCTTAGTCTACTCGCCGATAGCTGGTTACAGTTTGTGAGCATTTCTGTTGTCTTTTCAAATCTTTGTAACCTGAAATGTTATTTATAATCCATTCAAAATTAGTAGTAGTATTTAGTAGCAGTAGAGATTGTGAAAGGGTTTGTCCAGGGAACTACGGCCACCTTACATATTACTACTGCATAACAGTAATATGAGCATTATTGCACTTCAATTTTGAAAGGTAGTTTTGGTCAATTCAATTCAATTCTGAATGGTAGTCTCAAGGTGACAGATGCTATGGCCCTCACATTTGCGGTTCAAATCTCTGAGTGGCACTGTAACTATCATGGGTAGGTGTGCTGCTTAATAATTAATGTTCATTTAAAAAAATATAGATGTTTTTTCTGATGTCATATCTACAGAGATACAAACAAAACATCGATATTTTCAATGCATCGTAAATAATTCTAAAGGATAAAATGGTGCGCCTAGCCCATGAGAACATATCCACTACATTGCACTGCTGGATGACCAGCAAATCATAACTCGAGGTGCCTTTGGTTTCTGCAAGTACAATTTTTCATGTATCAGATAGAATATATATAGATAGTACATATCGATACTGAATGATACGATAATATCAGATTGATTCAATATATTCAGGGCACAAATTATCGATTTTTTTGAATATCAAGCACTCCTATTACTAATAGGCGCACGACTTGTTTGTCCCGTCACTTGACATAAAAAAAATTAAAATTGTTTTTAAAAAGTTTTCTTAGTAAAAATATTCAACTTCAACTTCAACTTTTGTGTCTATGGCTCCGTCGTTTTGCGCGACGATTTTGCCAATGTCAGGGTTGAAAGACATGTGGAGCGGTGGTGAGATAGATTGCCGGTTATTAAAATACTTTGGCGGTTTTTATTCACAATGATGGTTATATATATATTTTACTGACATTACAAAAATATAATTTGAGAGCTCGTTATTGTCTTTCTTTTAGAAACATTGTAGAAAGTTTTATTTAGCGGGAAATAAAAAATAAAATCGTTTAGTAAAACAAAGTCAGGCATCGTTTTCGTTCAGTAACAAACTTTTGACCGGTGTCAGTGTGGAAAATTATCATGGAGGATGGAGAAAGAAATAAAATTATATGAAAGATAATGGGAGAATACGGGAAGAATGAAGAATATTCATTTTTCTTAAAAATTAAGACTGATCAGAAATGAGAATTTTTCTCCGACTCACATTGTTGGGGCAGAAAATTATGAAATGAATGTGGTCGAGCAGAGGCTATTCGGGGCTGGTTACAGATTTATGTTATTAAGTTTTAGAAATTTGTATAAAGTGAATACTAGTGGAGAGTGTGCATTGGCTAGGAAATAGTTGATATTTATTTGGCGAGGAATACTTTCGGGAAGCAAATCGTAAAGTGGGAAGCTTATTAGGGGGCAGTTAAAAAATAAGTGTTCTAGAGTGCCTTCCTCTAGTCCACATTCGCAGAGAGAGTGATCACGTACTTTAATAAAAATATTCAAATCGATTGGCTGTTTGGACACCAGATAAACAAAGTTACGTCTACGTCAATGGTGAGTAAATGGGTAACACGTTGCAAACGCTTACCCACTCACGTGTCACCGCTTGGCAAGGGTTTGCCTTAAGTACCCTGTTACAAGGTATGAATAAAAACAATAGTCTAGCTTACATATGTTTCTGAGCTCTAATGATAGTTTCGACATCGCCCTGGTCAACCATTCCGGCAAGTCCCTGCACGAAAACCTCCGGTGCAGAATAATTTTGGAAGCATTCTATAGAAAAATCACTTTCTGGGGTTTCATTCGCCATTCTAACACAGTTTTAGTTAATTTTTATCAATGCAAAACTCATGAAAATCGTGACAACTCTACATACACTTTACACTGTCACTTATTCACGTTGACATTTCAGTTTTCGTTCGTGAAACAACCAATAGCGGTGTAGACTTTTGTGGCTGATTGATTAGTATTGGATCATGGATTTTCCATTTTGATATATGATTTTGATTGATGAAATCGTATTTTTCAGAAAAATAAATACTTTTCCTACAATTTTTCCACATTTGACGTTGACACTTGTCAAAAGTTGAGGTTACTGAACGAAAACGATGGAGTCATAAATTAAGTTTATTAATAGTTTTTATTTAACTTGGATACAAGTCCTTTGAGCCATGTCTACGTTTAATTATCGGGATCCTCTATAGATTTAGTATATAGGTACCCATAAATCTATGGGATCCTCAGTAATATTTTCCATTGTAGTTATAATTCTAATATATTATGTTTTCACTTTCTCTTAAATAACTTAGTTCACTTATTTGGGTTTTTTAAATAGTCTTTTAAGCGGCGGGAGCATTGACTTACAATTATATGGACGTCGGGTCCGCGCTAAAAAGTGTCCGCACTTGTAAGGCGCTAAAATCGTATACAGAGCGCGACACTCCGCTTTAGTCTTCATTTGTTCTACGGACAGCGCGATACTGCGATGACATAACAATTTAAATTTCAAATAGGTTGACTTGGGACATTTTTTTCGTGGTTTTTGTATTAGACCCGTCGTCCATTTATTTGTAAGTCAATGATGATCCAATACTAATCAATCAGCCACAAAAGTCTACACCGCTATTAGGCGGGAGTCAATATTTATGTTTTACTTTTAGTTTAATCATATTATCTTCTATCACTTTGAACAAAAACTTTGAATTCGTAATTACTGGAATTTTCAGGATGAAGTCTTTTGTAATTTGGTTTAAAATAAGGAATATAGTTCTAACTTTCTTCATCACTATTTCTTTCTTCGTTTTTTCTTCATAATATACTTAAAATAAAAATAATCTCTGTAAAAACTTTACTCGTAACTTTAAAAACTCGTCATTTTTTCATCTTTATTAAGTTTTTTCGCTGTTGTCCTATCATTTAAACATTTTTAAATCTCGATTTTTTTCTAACTTGCTTTTATCTAAACAATTTTATTTTATAATTCACGCTATATAAAATTTCAAAAAAATATTTCTAAACGAAGAACATAATACGAGCCTTCGAATTAGGTATATTTTTCCAATTTTTTAGAAATTTTTCCGGAATAATTTCAAATAATGGATTATTTGAATTTTTCGGAAAATCACCTAACAGTAGGATCTATTTAAGATTAATGTAAAAGAAAATTTACTAAGTAAACGAAGTTTCTTTTATGTGATGTTCGCACTTCGGAAACGTTTTCAACAAACAAATAAAATTCCAATGCCCTAGAACTAATCCATCAGCTGGATACCGTTACGTTTGTAAGGTTGCAGATGCAACAAGGAGCCAAATTTGCCATCTGGAGCGATCATAAACTTTAAGCTCATAACAGAACACAAAACAGATCCTGCATCAAGCTCTTTATCTTCTTCCGACTTGACACAAATCCTGCGTCGATCAGTGACTTACCATTACCAATCGTACTCCAATGGGTAAACTTAAAATGAATAGTCGCAACTTCAGCATATCCTAGCTGGTCATCGATTTCTACTGTCTTTAATGAATAGGTAATTAATTGTGCATGATTAGCGATGTAAAGAAAATTTATTTATTTGTATTTTGTGGATTTGTCAATACAACCATTACTCCGAACATTATTCCGTTCCGTACTTTGAATAATGCACAGAATCAGAAAAGTCACTCATGTACCTAATTTTGTTTTTATTATTGAAAAGTGAAAGTAATGACAGGTTGTGAACCTTTCCTTGGTGTCTACTTGAATTACTTCTACCACCTACCCTCATTTATGTGTTCATTGTATTTACCTAACCTTGAACCTAAAAAACTTAAATCCGGGATGTGGCCACATTTATAAATTTGGCTCAATTTTGCACGGCTCGGTGCACAGTGATCAAAAATCACAATTTAGGGGACGAAAATATTTTATATAGATGTGAAACTATTTCAAATAAAGCACACCATTAAACCTATAACTATTTACTGCCTACGGTGCACTGTAATATTTTTTTTAAGAGTATGTATTTAATAGGTTATTGTGACAAAGTCTTCTACTAATATCACAATATCCAGTCGGTTTCTTTAAGTCAGTCTCGGGAGTGCATGTAAATATTGTTCATTTCAAAGTTCTATCAAGTTCTGGCATACAAAAAATCTGCGTATTTCGGAAGGTATTGCTATGTGTAATTGTGGGATGTTTTTAGTTAGTGGATTGCTTAACAACACTGCGAAAAAAAATCTTGAATATAGATAGGTAAAATTCACTGTTAATTTGAGATTTACCGTCTCCTATAATGTTCATTATTAGTTAAGTGACATTTAATCATTATTGTAGATTGATAAGTAATAATTATTGTAAATAAATGATTGCGTTATAATAATAATCACATTGTACTTCCATTTTGTGACAACCCCGCCGACATAATAAAAAACTTTACCCTGTTGGCATATCGTTGAAAGTTCATACCTGTTGTTACAGTTACGACGTTTTGATATTATATTGAAATTTCAATCAATGCGCTGCCATCTAGCGGTTAATTTCTGAACCACAACGAAATGGGAGTTATTAATTTAGTTCTCCAAACAAGAAGCGACCGTATTGCACGGGTATAAGCTTTATTATGAAATACCACCATGGATAATATTTTTGGTGCATCTATAATTTTTGCAAAACAGCACAATAATAATATTTTTCTAGAATTTTAGAGAATTTGCACGAGAGAATGACACAACCATACCAAACAAAGCGAAAATGGCAGAATGAGCTCAGATAGGCTTTCGGCCTTTTGGCACGCGTCTGACGCTACTTAACCATTTCTATTGTATTTATTGTTTTGTGATATCTGACTATGACCACCACAAGAACGTACAGTGGTATCGCAAAGCATGAAAGGCTGCGCTACTGTTGGGAACATATTGTAATATTATGGTAGTAACGTAGTAAAAGCAGCACCTTGAAATTCGAAATGCGATCACATACCTTAGAGCAAATACCGGCGATATTGTGCTTACAGACACGATTGCACGCGTATCAAGCGCCCAACAGTGTGGTGCAATATGTTCAAATAAATCTTTGGAAAGACTATTTTTATTGTCAAAAAAAAAACAGCTTATAATTGTAAGTTGCAGCGAACTTGATTTGTTTTGGCGTTGATATTGTAAATACTGAAAACTATAGAGATTTGTTTGCATCGCAGTGATCAGCAGGTATTGCCCACATTAGTTGTGGCGTCTACTCTATAAATACTTTGGGTAAAACGTATCAAAGTGGAAAGGTCAGATTACACATTCAGTAACTGTACAGCTTTCATAAAATTGACTTGCCCCATCCCCTTAATGTCGAGCTCAAACGGAGCCCCATAAGTTTCAACTTTGTCACTTAGCAAGTTTCGACGGAACTTTATAAGACTTCTGCTGACCTGTCCATTCAGTCTTTTTTTCTTCTGCTTTTTCGTCAATGGTAACAATCTGTGTTTCGGATGTGGATGGTGAAAGTCGTGTTCATCATCTGTTATTCGTTTTTCTCTGCTCTTTCTCCGAGCGTAAAGGTAATCTTGTAAAGACTCTATTACATCATTAGCGAAGTCCATTCCACCATTACGATTTTTTTTTTGATTATCGTCATCTTGTTTTTTATTTCGACTGTCGACTTTACGTTTGGGACCAGATCGGACAATTTTGTGTAAATGGTCTAAAGCGCCTTCGTGTTTTTTCTGTGGATAACGCACTTTTTTAGGCTCTTGTAAACTGAAATTTTTAGAATTGGATGCTTTTTTTTGTTTATTTTTATTAATATTCTTGTTGGCAATACTTGCCTTTGCATCTGCGTTATTAGAGAGTTTGATTGACGTTGCATTTTTTATCTTTGTTGCAAATTCGAGGACCAAATCGATGAACTTAATAGGCTTAGCACTTTGGAATTTCTCATTGTGATCACTTTGTTGTACATTTTCAGTGTCAAAAACAACCTTTTTAGCGTTTTGTAACTCCTTTAAAACTTGGTCAATTTCTTGCCTTATTTCTTTATGTGCACGTTCATTGCTATCGACGTTCGTAACAGGCTTTGTCACAGGTTGAAACTCTTCATTTGTACTTACATTGTTATCAAATTTAAGAGCAAGGGGAGTGTGTTCCCCTTGGTTATCTCTAATTGTATTACTATTCAATTTTATATCACTCAATATACGAGCTAAGTTCAATGGATCGTAGACAACGGCATCAATATCGTTATTTATTTTATATCTTTTGCCGTAACTCATAACATGTGCAATAAGATTATCAAATGTATCCTTTTCTTTTTTGTCTCGTGCGCACCTTTCTTGGCAATCGCGATCGTAATTTTCACACTCGCATATTCGACTGTTAGGTTTTCTCCAGGCATTTACATTTCTGTCACATCTGAGTCTACATGCGTAGTCATTTGAGTTGCAACCACAGTTTGAGGAGGTGGAATCACGGACCAGAATTCCGTCCCGTGCGCATCGGTCTAAACAGGAGAAGTCAGTGATATTACATCCACATCTTAAGCGGTTTTGAATAGCTGCTATGTCACTTTGAAAACATCTCTTCTGACACGTACGATCATTTTTTGCACATCCACACTGTAAAAAGCTATGCAAGGCTGAAACGTCGTCCTTCAGACATCTGTTTTGACACATGCGGTCGGTTTTGGCACATCCACATTTTAAAAAGCTTTGTAGAGAAGACTCGCCTCGATCAATGCATCTGCTCTGACATATGCGATCGGTTTTTCCGCAGCCACACCGTAGAAAGGTGCGTAAAGTCAAGTATTTGCGATTCAGACATCTTTCGTGGCACATACGGTCAGTTTTACCGCAACCACATTGTAAAAAAGTTTCTTTATTAAATTCTGCTTTTTGAAGACATTTTTCTTGGCAAATAATATCCGTTTTGCTACATGTACATTGTAAATTTTGAGATAGTTCTGTTTTGTCGTTGTTAAAACAGTTCTCCAAGCAAGTGTAGTCATTTCGACCGCAGCCACAACGTTTGAGGTTTAGGACAGCCGTTTTTTCTTTGCGCTGTTGACATTTTAGTTTACAAATATTGTCAAAGGCACTACAATTGCAAGAATATCGTTTTGTGTTAGACTCTGCCCTCAATGGCCCACATTTACATATTTTGCTATTTTTTGATTCAGAGCAAGGGCACAATTCATTTTCTTGACTGTCGTATTCCTCATTTGACAGATATTTATTTTTAAACTTGTTGTTTTTGCCGCACCCTATAATGGCGCATATTCTTAAAGCATCCGAAGTTTTCCTATAGACATTTTCTTCATTTTGTTTCATGTTGTTTTCCGGTTTTGATGGAATATCTATGTTCCAAGCGTCATCAACATTCAAAACATATGTGGGTTCTTGCAGCCTTTGCAACGATCTCATATTTTTATTCCAATTAGAAGACAGCACGTCCTTGGAGTCTCCCAGCCATAGCGGCCCAGATTTCACATATCTTCTTGTTCTCCAACCCGATGTTAACGTGACTATGATCAGAAATATCGCAATAAATATTTTTACCATTGCTGTCGATTGATCACAGTCGTGCCATTTCGAATGTGGGTACTGATTAGATAAAATTGTAAATCTATTTGGAAATTGATGGCGGATAGCAGTCAACCATGAGATTGGTATAACTATAAGTGCTCACTGAGTTACATGAATAGAAGTGATTGGACAAGAAGTTTGGGCTCAATTCATGACTACAGTGCTGAAAATGTTATTGTTGCAATTAAGTATATTGAATGTCAGGGTAACACCACCAGTTTGTTATAATTATTTATACAAAGATCGAACATTTAGAAATAAAATCCTTTTTCTAAGTATTCGTCACGTCGCCAGCGTCTTCTAGCAAACCGTGCCTAGACTATTGTTGTTACATTTTATTAATGGACATTGTTTGTAACAAAACTACAATAACTGCGGTATATACTCGTATATCTGGTAGTAAAGTAGGTTTACTTATTACAAACTGGAGTTGTAACAAGAAAAATATTATGTTAAGTGTTTATACAACTTAAAAAACTTTGGTTGATTCTGCATAACTTCGGAAAAAATATATTATCGACTGTGAACTGGCAACCAGTACTATCACAATTTTGACAATTTTACAGGATGAAGAAAATAATTGTTTGCATCATTTATATAGCATCTGGTAAGAAGTTATTGCAAGTTGAATGAACACAATTCTGGTGCCGAAATTAAATGTATCTGGGATGGAATTTCTTGCAACGCTGCGGAGTATGGAATAATATAAAATGGTATTAAAAAGTGAAATCTTTAGAAAATTGAGTTAGTCGTTAGTAAACTTGAGGACATACACTGATTAGTATACAGTGTGAAAACACGATTCCTACAAATCTTCACGATCGAAAAAAAAACAAACTTATCTCGAAATTTTACAAGAAAACCGCTGTATTCAATTAGGTACTTTACATATAACAATGATTTTTTTATGTCAACTGAACTGGCTTCAAATGGCTTTAATTTCGTTTGTGTAAAAATAAATTCTGAAATAAGGCCATTTGCCCATGGCCATTTGGCCCGGCCAAGGGAAAAATTTTGAATTTGACCTGAAAACTTTACTTTTCACTTCAATTGCCAGAAAAAAGTCAATTATGTACGAAAAACAATTTCAGTGTTACGTCACGTCACTTGATGTTATAAAAAAAAAGTATTTAAAATTATAAACACAGAAAAATTTCGTCGACCCGGTGGGACTTGAGATTTATCCCATTGGGGGCATGGTCGCCCAATGTGTTCTTTTGTAATGAAAATAAGGAATAACCGGATGCTGTAATTTTGGGTCTCCGAACCCCCAACGAAATGTAAAACCCGTGTCATGGGACCATATGATGAGTTGACCTCTGAACTCCTTCCCTCCATGTTTCTTCGATTGTGTCAGTGTACTGTAACAACACTATATATAATGTTGCAAGTTTTTTTTATACCTAGTAATTTCAAGTTTCGCCGTTAACTGGATGGCTGAAACATTATCGCCGTAACTTTTGTTCGGCTGTGAACGACCATGTGTTATTTGCTCCACGGGTGGTCGGCATTCACATGTATTTGCGTTGCTCGTGTAGAAATTACGCTGCCTTCGCGACGAGTCTGGTATGTAACCTACAAGTGGACCCAGTAACCTCGAGGTCAGTGACGTATAAGTGTCATGCCCGTGTGCCACACAAGTACTTTCAGAAAGTCTTAGTGCAGTGTATTAGCTCATAGTATAAGGTTAACCATTTATATGTGTAACTAGTAAAAACTAAAAATAAATCTTGTAAACACAAAATGTAACCTTGGGAAATTAAAACGTGGTACTTAGTAATGTAACTACTCTTATCTATAACTTACTCTTGTCTATTACTCTATTTATAACTTAATATAAATAAAGCATCTGGTTATTTCCATTTTAATTACTTGTTTTAGTTGTGTGTAGGGCGCCCTTCTTTCTCCTTGATTATTTACACTCAGCATCGGGTCAAAGCAGAACTCACGCTCGACAACAAGTCTCATGCTCACCCAATCCGATTGGAGCTGACCATTACAGTGGGATGGTTTGACCATCTGAGCCACGGTTCCGTTACCGAGTCGTCGAAATGCTCCTGTGTTTTTGTTATAGATCGTTGTGCTGAGTTTCGGCATTCGTCCCCGCTAGTGACATCTAGTGAGAGATTTTTGAATAATCTTCTCACCGCAGCCAATACCTTTACAGGTATAACAACTGACGCAGATGTAGCTTTTCGATTAAATGTATTTATTGAGATTTTTTGTGAAATTACCCCGCTAGTTTGTTATAATTATTAATACAAAGATCGAACACTCAGAAAAAGTCCTTCGATCCGGTCGGATTCGAACCGACGTCTTCTAGCATACCGTGGCAGACGCTGACACTCATTGCGTAATGTAAAGTAGGCATTACAGGTGGTGACTTCAGTACAGTTTTTTAATTAAATTTAAGTTTTTACAAGCATGTGTGACAATGTTGCAAGCTTTGATTTCGACACTTTTAAATCTCGATATTCGAAGGTACCTACTGTAAAGATTGTTTATTTTTTTAAAAATAATATCAAGTGACGGGACGAACAAGTCGTGCGCCTGATGGTCATAACAGTTACAGTGCCACTCAGAGCTTTAAATCGCAAAGATCTGAGGGGCACTGCCACTGCGCCCGTCACCCTGAGGCATAAGTTTACAAGTCTCATGCGCTTTTAATGTCACCAGCACCCTTACCCTTCAAAACCGGAGAATAGGTAAGGTGGCAGTACTTCCCTAAAGGAACTCTTAAATAAGGAGCTCTACTGCTAATATATAAGATTATAATAATAAGATAGATTTGTCACCAACAAATACCGATGTTAACGTGCCGTTATTATTAGGAAAAAAAAATAGTAGAGCGACTTTTCCGCAGGAGCCACTGACCTTCTCTTCGTAGGAGGGAGAGCGAAAAACAATTTTACTTTGTACGTAGATGCCACGCTCAAATTTCTTAAATGTATTATTTTGCTCCCTTGTGACACGATCTAATCACTGAAGTTGATTCTCAAACGCAAAAGCCCTGGAGAACGAGCTTCAGGACAACCAAGAAGAAACCTACTTTCATTTGAAGAGGGAGCAGAGGAAAAAATCCTAATCTTCGATTTGATTTTAGAGGGGTATATCCACTTTAAAGTTAAAAATAAAATATTGTATGAGTAACTACACGATATATTCAAGCATAGACACTAATCAGAAACATAAAACAATAAAGTTTCCTCGATAGATAAAAATCACGAAATGACCTCTAATTTTCACATTTTTTCGATTAATCCTCGAAATGCTATAGGTTATTAGGATAAAAATGAGATAATTATTAAATTTATGCATGATCGAGCACTGTCACTACGGATTTTTTTTAATCCCTTTAGTTTTAGAGTTATTCCGTAAAACGAATTTGGTACTTTTAATGCGCAAAATTCAACATCTCCTGTCGCATGTCACGCGAACTTCAGGCATATATTTGTCTTACAAATGTGGGCGGAGCCAACGTCAAAACTTTTTTGGCATGCGATTTTTAAGAACGCGTCTCAAAACCGTAAAATATGCCGCCTCATGATTTTCAATTATTAAGATGACACCTCATCTTGACGCAATTTACTATTTGTAAGATTAAACCACAGAACAATAAATACGGTAGAAGTGGTTACTTAGTGTCCGACGCGTGCCAACTATAGGTATCGAAAGATCTATCTGAGCTCAGTTCGCCATTTTCCCTTTGTATCGAATGGTTGTGTCATTATTTCGTGCAAATTCCCTAAAATCCTAGAAAAACGCCTTATTGTGCTGTTTTGGAATGGAAAATGATTGCCGCCCCAAACATATTACCCGTGGTCGTATTTCATATCATCGGAGTCTTATTTAAATTTTACAATTTTCGGTTTATCGAAATATTTTTTTTGTTACAAGAAACGAAAGTAAAGCTTCTTGTTTGGAGAACTAAATGAATGACTCCAATTCGTCGTCGTTCAGCAATGAACCCCTAGATGGCAGCACATTGATTGAAATTTAAATTATATGAAATCAAAACGTCTTAACTTGTAATAATAGGTATTGATGGTATTGAACTTTCAACGATATATCAACAGGGTAAAGTTTAAATTATATTAACAATCCAGAATTTGTTATTTCTTTTATATTTGAAACTAACACATTGAGTTTCAAATTAAGAATCTTTTGGCGACATCGGTTCTCTGATAGTAATCGAGGCTTAATGCACTTCTATTGCTTTTTTCTTCCGTGGATTAAACGTTTAAAGAGAATAGCACTTCATGTGAATGTAGTTTATTGTTTATCTGAAGGTGCTTGGAGGAATCCTTGGATTTTGACGTGGATCGGCACGGCATAGCTTAGAAGTTGTTGCGATTTGTCTCCGCTACGCCTGCGAACAAAATTAAAGTTAACTACGTATGTGTACTGTAACTTACACTGCTGGGAACTACTCTATGGACCTCTCTTTAAAGTCAAAGATTTGGTGTATATATTGGGTGTCTTTACCACTCTGATTTGGGGCCGGTGCTTGGCAGAGTATGTGTGATAAACCTCCCCGTGACAATATTTAATTCAGTTGATAAATCTAAGTTTGCTTTTTTATTAATGAACTATTGTTATACATTATGAGGAACAAGGACAACGATATAAAATTGCGTATACACCCAAACCATAAAACCATGAAACAAAAAGTGTCTTTTCATCTCGTTTGTCGCGCTCAATTTTTACGTTGATAAAATTACTGTGCAAATGTTTTAAAATCAGCGGTGAACTTGCAGCCATGTTTGGCACTGTGTTAATCTTCTGCACTCATTGGTCGCCAGTGCTAGCGATGACATAAAAATGTGACGTCACGGTGCCATGTTCGATAATGTGATAAAATTTTGAAATGCCGTTTATCACTCGAATTTCACAGATAAATGTGGATATAATAGTTTTATCGAGGCGGCATACTACAGGGGCTGGTTAGCTTAATGGGGATCCATCCGTAAAACCTTTGCTCTGTATTCAAACGTTGCATTATACTACTACTAGGTAGCGGCTTAACCTAGCCGTTTACAAATGAAAACCAGAGTAAAGTTTGGATTTGTCAAATCCAGAATTGTTTTCGAAATTATATATGGATTTTGGCATTTCACTCTAAGACTGGTCTTCAAGATATACGGAGTTGGTTCCACTTGGATTTGAGGTCCCTCACTCGTATCGATTAAATTAATTTTTGTTTTCATAAATGATTGTGATAAATTGAAAAGACGGGCAGCACCGTCTTCCTGTTCATCATTAGGAAAATGCAGCGATTATGGTATTCTTGGTTATAGATGTTTATTTCAAATGATGATTATTGTACTAATGTAGTTGTAAGTGGTTTGACACCAGAGTTATTGCAATATTGTCATTGTAATATTGATTGTATTGAAATTACTCCACAAGTTTGTTATATTTATTATTTCAAAGATCGAACACAAAGAAAAATTCTTTTGATCTGACAGGACTAGAATCTGCTTTTGTGCCATATCTAGGCGACCGCCCTACCAATTGAGATACAGATCGATTCAGCAGACCTTTCGATTTTTTCTATGCGTTTGTTGTAGATCTTTGTTTATAGTATTAACGGTTTTTGCCCTAGCGCCATCTGTGAAACATCTATGAAAGTATTTCTTCACTCAATTCACACCTACAAGAGATGTCGCTTTTAATATTGTAATTTGATTGTAATGAATATTATGATATTTTTACTACTATGATAATAATTTGTTTTTTTGTGAAATTACTCCACATTGGTTTTGTTACAATTATTAATACAAGTATTGTTGTTGTCTGAAAATTAAGATTACGTCATTGGGCGAAGGATCATTTCAGATGTCCTGTACATACTGTAATTTGTTCAAAATTCCAATAGCAGTCCAACAAAATTCGCTGAACTTTCTTATCTCCAAAAAGTTTGATATCTTAATATCGAAGAATGTTAAAATATATGGTCTGATTATGGTGTTGAATACTGTAAGCATAATATTTAAATTTCAGGCAGGTGGTGGTAAGTACCTGTTTAAAAACCGCCTATCAAAAAGTTTGGCCTTCCCGAACCAAAAGGTATCGCTTTCGGAGCCATCATCAGCTCGGTAGTTATCCAGGTCCTCCTGCAGTAGGAAAGCGTTTCGGCGACCACTTGCTTTTAAGGAGGCGTCGTCGGGGAGTTTTCTGAAAAATTTGTATACATTTATATTATATTACACTGCCACCTTACCAATTTCTGCCGCCAAGCAATAATGTGAGCATTATTTCGTTCCAGCTTTGAACTTTGGGGTATGTAAAGAATTTAGACGTTTTAATTACAATAACTATCTCCAAAACCTGCTACCTACTTTTGGTAATGAACTATTGTTATACATTATGAGGAACAAGGACAACGATATAAAATTGCGTATATACCCATCTTTGTCGTTCAATCATCGTCACGAAAACCATGAAACAAAGTGTCTTTTCATCTCGTTTGTCGCGCTCAATTTTTACGTTGATAAAATTACTGTGCAAATGTTTTAAAATCAGCTGTGACCTTGCAGCCATGTTTGGCGCTGTGTTAATCTTCTGCACTCATTGGTCGCCAGTGCTAGCGATGACATAAAAATGTGACGTCACGGTGCCATGTTCGATAATGTGATAAAATTTTGAAATGTCGTTTATCACTCGAATTTCACAGCTAAATGTGGATATAATAGTTTTATCGAGGCGGCATACTACAGGGGCTGGTTAGCTTAATGGGGATCCATCCGTAAAACTTTTGCTCTGTATTCAACCGTTGCATTATACTACTACTAGGTAGCGGCTTAACCTAGCCGTTTACAAATGTAAAAAAAAAAAGTTTGGATTTGTCAAGTCCAGAATTGTTTTCGAAATTGTGTATGGATGTTGGCATTTCAAAGTTCTGAGTGGCACTGTAAATGTTATCGGTAGCCGTGTTGCTTACCATCAGACCCACAACTTGTTCAACCCGTTACGATATCGTAAATATAAAAAAGAATCACTTCCTTTTTCCTTCCACCACAACTTTCGGGTATTTAAAGAATTTAGACGTTTTAATTTCAATAACTATCTTCAAAACCTGCTACCTACTACACCGGCATGGTACTTTGTCATTCTTGGCATACTATTGTTATTGGAAGAACACAATACGCTGTTGCCTGGATAAGTGTACTGTAATCCTATATGTTTTAAAATGGTGCTTGGAATATAGTCGGCCGAGGCGTTTTGCACCAGTTTTCGTTGCAGTTGTACTGTTTCAAACAAGTGAAAACCAAAAAGTACATCCGAAGAAGTGAATTAGCTTTTGTGTCCAATATTACGTGCTTTACTTTCGTCGCCTTCGAATAAATTCTAATCGGCGGCTCATCTTGGACAGAATACCTAAATTTGCGTTTGGTTGACATCATTCATCATCTCTTGCATGTTTTCCTTGATATAAGGTGATAACCTAGGAGACAAAGAACTGATGTCTCACCAACGGGAGTTCTCTCGGGAATTATTAATTTCTGGCCACATGACCCATATAATATATACCTTAATCACTAACTTACATACAATATAATATAACAATAAAATCAAGTAAATATCTAAAATACACATATTGCACTTGTCGGCGACGTGTGGCGCAATCTGGTGTCAGGTAAACGAATTAAAATTTACGTTGTGGCGGGACTGCAACCGCTCGAACCTGAAAGAGTGTTAGGCTTTTAGTCATGTACTCCACTATCTCCTCGCTTCGTGGAGTAATGCAGACAGATCAAAAAGTCCAGTCCAGTCGTTTACGCTTTAGTACGTCCTATTCGTATCGGGGGTCTACTCTCGATGTCCGTCTGACATCCGTCCGAAACAATTACTGCCAAACAAGCAATACTTGACCAAATGAAAAGACGCGTGATGCGAATGAAGCTTCATACTGGATACTTGTCTTTTAATTTTGTCGAATATTACTTATTTGACAGTAATTGTTTCGGACGGATGTCGGACGTAGAGAGAGAGAGAGATCGAGAGTAGACCCCCAGTTCCGAATCCGAGAAATGACGGTCCGAAATGTCACAGGGATCATTTTATCTCTAGATGTACATGTGATATTCGTACTTCCTCAGACATTGCATAAGCGACATCCGAACTGGGTCAGAGTTTTCTAGATTTGTACAGTCTCGGATTTGGAATGAATACGAATCTGATGTACTGCGTAAACGCGCTTTGGATGTATTTTATGAAACTACAGTATACTTATCTAAAATGCAACGCAATCTTTACTGAATTTTAGAGATCTTACTTGTGTTTATGGCGCCGGTGTGATTCCATTTGCTTATTTCTTCTTTCCATTTCAATGTCATCGTCACCTTCTTCGACATCTTCCATCTGTTGACGGAACATTTGATTCTGCGTCTGGACGATGTTGCTGACGTCGAAGCGGTCATTATCCTCGCCGAAACGCACGTCCGGTCGCATTGCATCCATCTGGCTTAGAGTTGTGGTTACTAGAGTTAAAAGCAGGAATAGAAAAAGCTGGAAATGATAAAATAAGAATTTTAAAACCTTGTCTAGGAATAAACTATTGTATTATGATATTTAGTTTAGTGAATATCATAATATTTTTACTACTATAATATAATAAATAAAAATAAATAAATAAAGTACTTGTGTTAGGGCTTGTTCCCATTATGTCGGCTTGTATTATTTCTTGTATGCTCCATCGTTGACCTACTAGTATTAATGTGGTCGTGTCTTTCCATCAGGTGAGATGGAGGTCAAATGCACAGTTTTTTTTTATAAAAAAAAACATGAACAATGAAACATTCGGATGAATATGCTTTGAATTTTGTGCTGTTGCAAGAAATGTTTGCGATTGTTGATAGTGTTACATTTATTAGATTTTAACAAGTTTTTTTAAAGAACAAACAATGTAGACTATATTAATAAAATATTGCACTCGACGTATAAGACTTTCAAAATATGTGACTCATTTGTAGCAGTCGGTTACAGTTTTCAATCTAATAATTATAAACTTGGGTACATGCTCACCATATTGCATATCGCCAACTGCAGCCAATCAACTATGGACACTAGGATTTTATGTCTCCGAATGCAATTATAATTTTTAAATTGATTAACAACGAACGATTGAGCTATCTGGTTTTCTAATTTTTAACCAACTTACAAAAAAAGACATTAAAAATTACTCCGCTACCTACGTAGCCTAGAACTGATTACATAATCTCAGTACAGAGTCCTAAAAAAACCGACCTCAAAAGTTCTTGGAATTATATCTATTTGCCAAGTTTTGTCGAAATCGGTTACCGGAAAGTGCGAGAAACCGGATTCATCCCTAAAGCCAAAGCTCTAGCCTAAAAGCGCCCGTCACCCTGAGACGTAAGTTGACAAGTCCCATGTGTACCACTTGGCGGTAGAAACAGGTAAGGTGGCAGTACGTTCTCCGGGAGAAGTATTGCCACCGTTTCTGTAACCTGTTTCTGCCGCCTTTTACAAGGAGCTCTACTGCTACTATAAATTGAATTAAAATTCGGATGTGAATAATTAAAATTCTCGGAGACTTTAACTTTACATAGGAACTAAACTAGGTAAGTTCTAAGCTGTGACTCTCTTGGTTTTTAGAAAAGAATACTGGATAACTTCGACGACCCCAGTGCGCCTGGATGGAAGGTTCCAGGTTTGGCTTAAACACAAGGAACAAACTTCGAAATGTAGTATAAATTACAGGAAATAACCTTAACTTGACGTAAAAGTAAATTCAAGTTATTTATTAGTGCCGATAAATATAAAGCCACCTTTCAGAGATTTATCAAACATAATACATTCAACATACATAATTTCTCATTAAATAACAATAAAAAGCACGCGTCTTCGGAACGCAGCCGCAAACGCGCGGGAAAAAAATGCAAATGGCGGCTCGTGACGTCACGTCCACGCGCCATCTGCAACCCCCAGCTGATTCTGTTTTAATTATATTTCACTCGTTTTATTGTCGAGTTTTCCGGTTTTTCCTGGCTGCCTGAAATTGTAGTACTTTGTGGTTTAAACATTGCAGGATTTTTAATAAAAATTAAGTAGAAGTTCATGGATACTGTATATATCCAAAGTTTCAACCTTAGGTGTGATTCTCGATCGTTTTCTTCAAACGTAACTAGAATTTAGAAGGTGGACATTAAAGCTGTGAATTAGATTATAATTTATGGCTTTACAGAGTTTGCCCAACCGCCTACTAAACGTGGGGGTTATGTCTAATTTTACTTTCTAGAGAGGTAGCTATAGATTCGCAATTAAGAAGTCAATGGATCGAACCTTAGTGGCAGCATGTGCCTATGACTTTAATATGTATAAGTGTCGTAAGTTTGAAAATGTTTAATAACAAGACCTTCTTATTAACTCTGAAGTAAAACATTGTTGAAGTCAAAGTTAAATAATCTTTATCTCATAGATAAGCAAATTACACTTGAAATCTTCATACTGATTCAACTCTACTGCTCATTGGTAAGGCAGATTTCTCTGAGAAGAACGAGCAAGAACTAGGGGTTGCTTTTTGTAAGTATACATTTGAATACATTTATCATTACAATATTTACTTTAAACATCTTAGATCGGACTATTTTGCAAGAGCTAAACGGCGCACTGCCAATAATTTTTGTCATCCAAGTACGCAGATACTGTGTAATAAACCTTTAGTATAAAGTGTTTGTTTCACTATACTTTTAAACCTCGTAAATGTCAAATTTTGAATATCAATCATCTTGTTATAGAAGCATATACATTGCCCCATAAATGAACTTGAGACTTTATGAAGACGACTGTCAAATTGGTCGTTTATTTTTATTCCTCGTATTAATGTTATGTCTGACACTACTTTTCATAAAAAAAATGAATATTTTTTTATCAAAAATCACATTTTCACAACGGTACTGTGACGTTAGTGTAAGAATGTTAATCTCTTTAAATTTATCTCTTAAAGACACTCTGGGGCCCAGATTGTAATTGCCCTAACCGCACGTTCCTGCCAGGCAAAGGTTCTATTAATATCGGCGGCATTACCCCAAAGCAAAATACCGTATGTCATTAAACTATGAAAATAGCTTAACTAAATCAATCTAGCTATTTCGACGTCTGAAAGTTTTCGTATTTTTTTATTGAGATGAAACTTGCATATAGAAGAAGGTTCACAACCCTGAGAAAGTATGTAAAGTCCCAAAACGGCATTGGGCCAGAGTGTGGCGGACGCCGCCTAAATAACAAGCTGTAAAACATATAATCGGTTGATGATCGAAAAACTGTAACTTACAATTTGTATTTATCCGTCCGTTTTAGGAAAATTCTTTGGAAACCAAAGGACATGTTATATTGACATAATATAAATCAGACGTTATATGAATATGAAGCATTTAAACGTTAAAACATAAACATTTTATTGTCTTTGTTTAAATACTGCGTGCCGTAATAAGCTAAAAGAGATAGCACTACATTGATTTATGTCAAACACGGGAATCGAAAACATGTAACGTCATCTTAAATGCCAACTGTTCTCATTTTGCCATTTTTGTAGTACCCTTTGATAACCGTTTCTGGTTGTCAAAGGGAAGTACATCAAATGTCAAAACCAATGTTTGGCCTTAGAATAATAACGCATAGAAACCTAGTCCGCACACGCTAAGTGAGGCAAATTGAAGCGCTCCCAAAGGACCTACACGAGCGGGCGGGCCTTCAGTTCTCAATGTCAACTTGCACCGCGAACAGATCAAGAATTTTAGCTAAAAATGACGAAATGTGCGGTAAATGAGTGTAAAAATACGTCAGACAAACATAAAATAGATACTAACATCACATTCCACAAGGAAGTAACGCGTTTCAACTTGTATTTTTATATAAATATTCACTAAAACCGAAAATGAACCACTACTAAAACTAGCCTACATGAATTTGATTTTTGCCTCACTTGTGACAGTTCGTTTGATATGAAACTATCATTCTATGCGTTATTATTCTAAGTGTTTGGCCAAATATTTTAGTGAATTATTCGCATGAATTGTAATGAAATAGACAAAAATATTGACAGTGAGAACAATTAAGTATTGATAAAAATACGTCGCTGCAGCATTAAGGGGTGCGGCAGTAGAAAAAGTGGAAATCAACCGAATGTTACATTACACCGGCTATATGTGCTATATTTCTGCCTATAAATCATACAATAGCCCACATATCTCATGTAATTAGACTCATTTAAGTAGTTTATTCATAAATCTTGCCGAATTTTGCTTTGGTTACTTTAGATTGCCTGTTTTTTAGTATATTTTGATGATTGTTGATAACGATTATTTTGAGATAGTGTTGTTCTTGTAAGCAGACATATTATCGATATTCTGTTATTGAAACAATTCACTACGAGGTTTTTATTATTTCATTATTATTATTTTTAAAGTTTACCTACAAATGAAAAAATAAAGATAGAATGGTTGGAAATAATAAGACTTCGGCAGTCTTATTATTTCCAACCATTCTTGACATGAACATTGGATCAAATACTATCTTCGTTTGTTTGCTCCATTTTGAAGAGTCAAATTTTAATGGAAGTTTGAATGGAACTAGATTACATGATAATGCAATTCCATCGTTACATTTATTGGTAAATAACTTTATATTTTATGTTGATTAAAATGGCTCACTACTTGCCTAGTAATAATAGCCTAGTATTAATCATACTTTGATTGCAGTAAACTATATAAATTTGCAAACATAAAAAACAGTTTCAACATTCAAGCCATACATTTACATGTGATATTTACTTATCTATGATTATGGTACAACACTAAATCCGCCATATGTGTGGTACAATTTTGGTTTAGGTAGGTACGTTTACTCCGTAGATAGGGCAGCTCCTTTCCTTTATTTTTTCCATCCTCTAAGAGTATAACTATGCAAATTACACTTGAAATAGACTTAAAGAATTTTTCATCTTAGTAGCTCGGAAAGGCATTCTTTCTCATTAGAAATCTGCGCGCAAAAGCGTTTATTTGCACGCTAGCGTGGAAAACGTTTTTGAAATTCGAACTTGATGACGGTCTGTGGTGCTCCTAACTTTTTCTTTCGATGAAAAAAAAACATAATGACGCGTTCAACTACGCGATTTGTCGTACATTATTTATGTAATATAAATCCGTTGGTAGCCATGTTTTATTCTTATTATTGTTGACATTAAATTGACAACGGTAATTAGTTTTTTTATTGAATTATTTTAATTCGTCGAAGAACTAAAATGATTCGTTTTCGAATATCTGTTAACAAAGATTGAATTTTCATAAAAGATGTTCTTAATTCTGATGGACAACGGGAGAGGTACCAATCAACTTGATATTTTGTTTTGCCACTTGTAAGTTACAATGTGTCTTGCAGAGTACTCCGACAGTTGTACAAACAAACAGCGTGTGCGCAGGTGTTGCTTCACAAAACACACGCGCCACCAAGCAAACACTGTTTGACATGGTAATAGCAAATAACATGTGAAAACGAACAAGTAGTTACTATAGTACATCGTCGCTGAAGTGTAAGAAGCCTCGATCTTAATTTCTTTATAAGTTGCAGTCCCAGAGTAAATGATGAGCATTTGTACTTTAAAATTACATTTGCCTAATATTCTACTGGTGGTAGACTGGTGGTGGCGGTGGTACACACTTCTATAGCCTGGAGAGCGTCTTCCTATGTGTTGTGGACTTCGGGTTTGTCTCTTCCCTTTTCGGCGGGCGGATTCGCATGCCCAGTGTAGCATCACTCCGCCCATGCGAAAGGAGGTCGACATAGTCCAGAACGACACTTGTCGCGTCATAACGAGATACTTGAAGCCCACTCGTCACTCATTATTATATTCGCTGGCGGGAATTGCTCCTCCCGATGTTATGTTGCGAGATAGCATGTGACGTAGAGAAATTAAAGCACGAGGTTGATAGTCGGCACCCTTTATTCGGTAACCAGCCCCCCTCCAGAATGACTACCAAGCCGTAAAAGCTTCCTTCTTTTAAGGTAATTCACGTTTTTTTGTTAATTTTTCAAAGTCATGACTGATGGCCAAAGATCAATAAATAAATAATAATAAATGCTATCATGCTAAGAACATTATTGGGGTGTTATTCTCCGACTTTAGAAAAAGAACGTACTTGTAATTGTATCATTAGCAACTTAATCAGCTGTCGAAGGCTTTATGAGTTATGACTGAACAATGAGATTTTTTTGATAAAAGTGGCGGGTTTTCGTAGTTACAGTCTTTACACAAATTAAATTTTATTTAATTTAATTACATGTTTAAGTTGAAGGATTTATAGCCGATGTTCAATAAATAAAGCATAAACTAAAAATGAAAAATATATTGTGCCAAAAAGTTGCGGAACAGTAATGAAGAAGCCTCTCTACTTTTTTTGTATTGGTTCTGTTTTACAAATCAAGTACACCACTACATGTATTTTTTTAATTTATTTATTGCGCATTGACTATGCCAGTGATCTTTAAAAGATAAATGTAATGTAACTTAAACTTAAATTCCGCTCTTTTGTAAGACCTCTAAATATTTCTGTTCAGAAACCTTGTTAAAAAAATACCACAAATTTATTTAAGCAGTCTCAACAATCCTTTACCAAACTTTCATGCTGTGTACATGTAAGACAAAGCAGTATATTCTGTAGTTGTTTTAAAAATAACCAAACTAATATTTGAAATTCGAAAGTAACTCGAATTTGATAAATTTCGGACCTAGGAGAAGAACATAAGCTACTTTTTGTCACAAAATAAATCTTAATGGGGGCGAATGTAGGGGACGTAAGTTTGGATGGAGAACCAAGAATTTGCCAACTAAGTGCTTATTTTACGTAGATAGCGGGCACCAGCTAGTATTACCTATATAATTTACAATAATCTTTCTTTGAAAACACTTAACAAAAAAATTTGAGTGCGGGAAGCCCTCAAAGAGTCGGTGGAAAACGTCGGTCCCGTAATGCGAAACGAGCTTCAGTTTCCCGCGGACTGCGCTTCAAGGCGCACGCGTTTTCTCGCTCTAAATACGGCTGGGTTCGGAATATTTAGACAATATATTTCATTACATAAATACGCCATTTATTGTTTGCAACACTATTCTAACGTTCCAAAAAGACCATTTAAAATCGCACAAAATAATACTACCGCTTATAATAATATTCTAAATCCGATTTACAAAAATTTTTATTAATGGTTTTTTTTCGCTGAAAGTTTTTGTGGCACAAAATACTATTTTTGTTTAAGTGAAGTAAAGTGATTTACACCTTTGTGTACTTGTAATTTAAAATCTGGAAGCTGGTGGCCGTCAGCTGGCGAAGCCGTTGAGGTAAGCGCTGGAATAACATTGCGTTTTAAGTTTAAAAATGTATTGTTATAAAGATAATTTAAAAAGGGCATTTATCTAATTGGAATAACGTAATTTGAAGTGTTGGGAAGTCGGTGCTACATAGGCGGATAATTTTTTTTAACAATTTATTTACGTTAAATACAGGTATCACAAATTGAATGTGCAATGTTTAACTTGGCACGCGACAAAACGACTATAACCTTTTTCGAATTCTTCATCATACAAAAATGCAATCAAATTTGGACCTTCCTAACACAAAAATTTACTTGTTTTTAAACGGTAAGCGTGTTTTTAAAGGTTATCTTGCTGATGACTGTACTTAACGACTGCAGTGCCCTAGCAGTCAGCACTAGGGCGCTTGATGAGGAGTACCTGGGTTCGATTTCTAAATTCATATTGTTAAATTGTTTCTGGTCTGGTCGTTTGTTTCTTTACTCTAGTACTTATAATATTGGGGATTCCCTTACTTGAGACCAGATGTTAAGAGGGAGCATGCCAAAAAAGTTTTGACGTTGGCTCCACCCAAATTTGTGAAACAAATATATGCCTGAAGTTCGCGTGACATGCGATGATGTTGAATTTTGCGCATTAAAAGTACCAAATTCGTTTCAGCGGAATAACTCTAAAACTAAAGGGATTAAAAAAAATCCGTAGTAACAGTTGTCGATCATTCATAAATATAATTAATTATCAAATTTTTGTCCTAATAACCTGTAGCATTTCGAGGATGAATCGAAAAAATGTGAAAATTAGACGTCATTTCGTGATTTTTATCTATCGAGGAAACTTTATTGTTTTATGTTTCTGATTAATGTCTACGCTTGAATATATCGTGTAGTTACTCATACAATATTTTATTTTTAACTTTAAAGTGGATATACCCCTCTAAAATCAAATCGAAGATTAGGAATTTTTCCTCTGCTCCCTCTTAATGTCTGACAATTTATTATTGTCATTGATTACTTTGAAACTTGGAATTATATAAGGGATTGGAAACGGCATTGGTTAAGTAAGAAACATACAACCTCAACTTGACTTTGGTTGATTCCACATGACAGTGAAAGTGTTGAATGAAATCACTTTGGAAAAAAATTATAGTAAAATTGAGAATATACAATAATTGATACAGGGTGTGAAAAGACGATTTCTAAAAACTTTCACTTTCATACAAAGTTACCTCGAAATTTTACAAGAAAACCCGCTTTATTCAGTACTTTATATATACTTTCTTACTTTATATTTTCAAATGTCCTAGGGTTAATGCTCGCTCCAACACAACATTGTTTTTCGTACCTATTTGCAGTACTAACTACGCTGGGAATAGGTTTCTAATCAGAGCATGTAAATCTTATAATGATCGTTACCACCACATCGATATATTTACCTGTAAACTAAATTGTTTTCGTCAAATGTTAAAAAAGTAGATTTTAGTTAATAAATTAAGTAATTATTTCTTTTCTGCAATAATTTGTCTCTATTTTTTTAAAACTTCTTTAGAGCTTTGTCATTTGGTTAGGCCATTGTTTACAGAATTTTGTCATTGTGTAGTAGATTAAGTGCTTTTGGCCTTCACTTCGTGAATTATCTATCATTGGAAACAAAATTTGGCTAAATTTAATATTTAATAGGTAAACAAAACATTTATGTAATATGTAAGCTGTATGTTTCTTTCAATAAATAAGTAAATAAATAAATAAATACCATTGATTATTTTTTATATCAACTGAATTAAACAGAACACGTTATACTATACGATGTACATTTTTCAGATTGCTTTAACTTCGTTTGTAAATAAATAAATTCGGAAATAAAGCCATTGTTCCTGCCGTTCGATCCAAGCGAATTGAATCGTATTAGTACGAGAAAAACTTGAATTGTTACACATAGGAAATTACATTACTATTGACTGAGCCATGGTTATCGTCAGCCATGACCATGGGACCTGTAAAGGGCCCGCAATGTTAAAAGGACCCGAAAAAATTCATTTCCTGTGATTAAGATAATTTTTCTAAATAATTATTCCTTTGCAAATGCAAACAGGTTTTGTACGGTATAAAAATATAAATGGTATAAAAAAGAAGCTTTGTAGTCATTGACTTACAAATAAATGGACGACGGGTCTAATACAAAAACCACGAAAAAATGTCCCAAGTCAACCTATTCGAAATTTAAATTGTTATGTCATCGCAGTATCGCGCTGTCAGTCGAACAAATGAAGACTAAAGCGGAGTGTCGCGGTCTGTATACGATTTTAGCGCCTTACAAGTGCGGACACTTTTTAGCGCGGACCCGACGTCCATATAATTGTAAGTCAATGTTTGTAGTAGTTGAGCTTGTGCAAGAGTACGCCCTGTGAAGTACTGCCACCTTACTTATTTTTGCCGCCAAGCAGTAATGTCAGCTTTATTGTGTTCTGGTTTTGAAGGGTAAGGGTGCTGGTGAAACTACAGACACATGGGACTTATCAACTCAGGGTGACGAGCGCAGTGGTAGTGCCTCGCGTGTTCGTTCCCTCACTTGGTATTATACAAAAAATGTGTGGAGAGTGAGGATCCCGAAGATGAAAGATCTAGTTTGCTTCGCACAATAGGCGAAGTTGGTTACTACTTTCTCTGCCTGGTGGAGCAAAGGGATTTTGATAATTTATATAATACATCCAGATAGATGGGTTAATTTATTAACCTTAATTTTAACGATAATGGGGTATAAGTTTGACTGACGATGAGCGAAGGAAGCGAAAGAAGTACGTCAGAAGTACTCTTCCAACGCGCGATGGGTTTTACGGTATCACATCGACAATGAAAATAGCGACATTAGTTGACGTTATATTCGTGCATTATGAGTCTATACTACCCCAAATGGCTTTGATTGACTCCACATAACAGTGTAAGTGTTCAATCAATCATTTTGGAAAAAATATAAAGTATAATTACTAAGTTTTATTGAAATCGGTTACCGGAAAGTTCGCAAACCCGGATTCATCCCCTAGTTCGCCACTGTGCGGGGACACAGGAGATAATAAAAATGGGTTCTCACTGTTCAAAGTGTACTGAGAGAGAAAAACGCCTTGAATTAAAGAATAGCAATCAACCATTAAAGTAATTGCTCATTATACTCAAATTTGGGCGCTATTTATAAAAATGAATCTTCATGCGTGAACAGCCACCCTTAGAGGTGGTTAGAGATGTTAGTATGATTTTCTTCAAAATTAATTGGGACCACTATGGAGATACCCTATTTCCAACAAAAAAAGGAATCGTGAAAATCGGTTCACAAATACCGGAGTTATCGCGTAACATACATACAGTCGAATCGAGAACCTCCTCCTTTTTTTGAAGTCGGTTAAAAATGGATTATATACACTGATTAGTATACGGCGTGAAAACACGATGACAATTTTCACGATAGAAAAAATATTCAATGGGCGCTTTATATCTAACGATTTTTTAAATATCAGCTGAATCAATGAAGTACACGTATACTATACGATATACATGTCGTTTGTTAAAAAAGTTATTCTGAATTAAGTCCAGGGTCCGTGTCGCTCGACCCAAGCAAAATGAACCGTATTAGTACGGGAACAATTAGAAATCGGGCTAAGGTAGCATCGACTCTTCTGCCTCCGCAGCCGAACGGTTGCCATGCTGATCGGCCAGGCAGAGGTCCCGGATTCAATTCTCGGGCCGGGAGAAATTTCTCTCATGACTTTGGGTGTAATTTGTGGTTGTCTATGTGTGTTTCCATCGCACTTGCGATGCAGGGTTTCCCAAGTGCAGGGCTATGAGTGCGTACGTTATTATTATTAAAAACTCTTTTATTACAAAGTTCTAAGGTTTTCGCTATAACGACAGATTAGAAATAAAATTATTTTATTTATTGAATATCATGGTATTTACTACTACGATATCGGTGCTAACAGTAAAAAAACCGTTTAAACTGAAGTTTCTTAACCTTTTTCTAGTCATTGATCGCTGTTAAAATGTCAAAGAGCCCGACCCTTTTCGAAAAGATAAAAAAAGCTTTCAGCTTTTACTAGCTTATATTGTTTGAGATTAAACTTTAGTTTGTTACATATGAATATTTAATTTGACGGTCGCTGTTCCATTATGTTACATAGGCTCGCCACGGACCACTGGTGTTCATTACATGGATCACGTAGGGTTAAAAACCCTGGTTTAATTAAACCCAATACAAATATGTGTAATAAGTACAACAAGTCGCAAGATAACAGATCTTACTAACTTATCGCGATCTGTTCTGTAGCTCAGTTGGTTAAGAATGGTGGCCTCGACATGGCAACAGCACTTGTTCGAGTCCAGTATAATCGAAGGATTTTACTGTGTTGTTCGATTTTTGATTGAATAATTATTTTATTTATTATTTTGGTAAATTGAAAATGAGGTAGAAAATGAAACAATTTTTCGGGTCTAAATCGCGTACCTATATTTGTTTTTGTTTCTGTACGGGACATGATCAGCTGTGACCATGGGGTATGTAAAGGGCCCGTTGGTTTGTTTGAATAACAAATAAAATAACAAACAAAATACTGTCTTTTACTATGTGTAACAATCTTTTGTTCTCCTATGTAACAGTATTTTCTTATCCTATGTTTAACTTGCCGTCGTGGTCGGAGGATTCGATTCCCGGGACGGAAGAAATACCTATTTCTGTGGACTACATTAATTTCTCTCGTGAGTTTGGGTGTAATATGTGGTTGTCTATGTGTGTGCGAATGAAAAAAAAATCGCGAAATCCTAAGGACTCGATAAAAATAAGGTAGTCAAAGTAATAAGATAGTAATAAGCAGAGCTCCTTGTGAGAGTTTGTCCAGGGCAGTATTGCCACCTTACCTATTTCTGCCGCCAAGCAGTAATGTCACCATTACTGTGTTCCGGTTTAATCTCAACATGTATCCGGTTTTGAAGGGTAAGGGTGCTGGTGAAATTACAGGCACATGGGACTTGTCAACTTATGTCTCA